GAAGAGCATTATTAAATGTACTGTGTAGAGGTGGATTTGCTATATCCGGCAGAGCATCGGGCGCTTATTTTATACTCCTCCAATGAGGACTGAATTCTGACGTTCTCTTGTGAAATAATTATAATTATTTCTTTTTGACGAGAGAAAGAATGATAGAAGTTCATATTGCTTTATTGCTTTCCATCTTCCGAACGAGGCACTATATTTTTGTTACTTAATATTTTGAGCATATCAAACATATCTAGTGTTTTACTTATAAATTACGCCTGTGCTTAGTTATAACCAACTGTCAGATTTGTTAAGTCTGACGGCAGCTGTATATGGTCAATTGCACACCTTAGACAGCATATTGCATCTTGCTGTTTCTATGTTTTGTCACCTATTTTTTGACTGCTTTTGCCAAAGCGCTGTGGAGTAAATTGCTTCCTCGAAGAATCTGGCATAAAGTCGACGCCGCCCTTAGTTTCGAACCAGGGCCTCTAGAGTGCAAATTCGAATGACTTCCTTCTGCGCCCCAGACACCGTAATTAATCGTCATTTCCAAGAAGGAGTCTGTCATAGGAAACATAAGAGCTGCCTGCCCTCGATTTAAAGTGAACAGTTCATCCGCAGACTTGCCCAGATACATCGTTGAACTTTCCTCCGGTATTAGTATTGATGTTTTAAAGGCATTGATATTTTTTACTATCAGCAATTTTTCGTGTACACCTGCAGTGATGAACTACTAGAAGGATTGTTTTTACTCCTATAGTTGGTAGTGAGCTGATTTGATGCCTGAGTATCCCATTAATATACATACCAAACTGGATGAAACCGTCAGTCAAAATCTCTGGTCTCGTCTCCCAACTTCCATGTTTTAACATTGTTCCACAGAGGTTCGCTGATAGTCAGCTGCTCTCAGTGTTTACGCGAGTAAGTTGTACCGTTAGTCAAGAAAAATGGTAATAAGATTTTAATAACAGTTCTACATTAAGTCCTTTTGATATTTGTATTTAACCTACAGATTTCTTCGCAATCATCAGGCTTTTTAATTGAGCTCCTTGTTTTAGAGTGACTATACGAAAATGCCGTCAGACGCATCACCTACCTGCGTCACGGTGGAATCTGTTTTGGATGAGTCTTCTCCACAGACTCTTCAGTCCTCTTCGCACGACAATGAAACGTCGTTGAAGGAGACATCACACCAGGAAACCGTTGTTTTAAAAGAAAAGACCGTCTCGCAGTATGGAACAGTCGAGGGCACAACCTCATAGGTTTACGTCTCTTTTACTCTCTTCTTTATTCATTATGGTTGCAAAGAATTTTCAGATATCCTTTGCTATTTTGTATCATTCTGTTGACATTTATTTGTTCGTTTTTTAAATATTTATTTCCTGTTTTCGTTTTCTATTAAAGAGATTTCATGCTTTAAATTTATCAGAGTATTACCAGTTGCAATTAAAATGATACTTGTAGCGCGACTGACTTCGCTGATTACCATATGGGTTCTGAATTTCGAAAATCTGCTACATAACTTGAACCTAGTCAGCTCAGTGATATCTCGAGAAATTAGTTATTGAGTAGTTAAATGAATGTATCCTGTTTCATTGGTGTAGATTTCTTGCAGAAGGCTATTAGTTGCTAATATTTTATACAAGATGCTAAATTTTAACTTATCCTCTTCCAAAGAGCCCCTACTTACTTTTGTAACAAAGATAGTTGGTCACTGAAAAATTTTTTATGAATTACCTTGTAATTAGTTACGGAAGGTAGACTTCAAATATTCATAAGTATAAGGAAAAGTCTGTTCGTAAAGTTAAAGGATTGCGAAAGTTGTATATTTTACGCTTAGTATTTTAGTATTCATTGTCACTGTTTTTACAGATATCGTTTTTTGCTAAGGTAAATGCGCTTCGCATTCTTTTGAGATTCCAGTGACATTGAAAACGGACAGTGAATTCTTCCATTAATTCTCTGTGTATTTTGTGTCTGCTGCCTATGATGTCAGAAATTTAAATCGCTAAAATGGCCTTGCTTCGCGAAGGATGCCCACCTCGTAAGAGTATCGTGCCTTTGAATTTCTCTTGATTCCTTTCCAAAACGTGACGAGGTAAAGACACCTGCTCAGTTTAGTTTAAGTGGCGTTAGATATAAGGGAATGGCGTTCTACAGTGAATTAGGAATCCGATCATAATTACTCTTAGACGTCTAAATAAATCTACTAAAAATTTTGTTTGCTAAAATCAACTTAACAATGATTTAGGATAGCGTCGCAGTGCTTAAAGATGATAGTTTAATTCGTCACTAGTATTGATCATTGCGGTTTGATATGCCCGGTGGTAATTCTTACAATGGAAAAGTTTTTGTAGTACAGCCTTTTCCTCTATAGTCGGCTAATCTACTTCTGTCTCAAATTTTGTTCTTTTTTGTTTGCAACACGTGGTTCATGAATTTCTTGTTACCCAATTTTGTTATGCCGTGGAGTGCATTAAGCGCGTTGACACATTGAAGCTTCATATTAGAATTTAAGAAATGGCAGATGTGTTATTTTGCGCTAAAGTATGCAACATGAATAAATGATCTGAAAGAAATACGAGTAGGTATCCGTTATACTGTCACCTTTTTATAGCAACTTTATAAACGTAAGTAGTGTATACTCTTGTACGTATGGCAAAATGGTGCATATGGCTTCGGTAGTTCCATTCTACGACTTCAAATCATCTGATGCTACCAAAGTGTATTGATCCAGTGAGCCATCAGATGCTTAAAAAAACCGCGCTGAGGATGCAGAGGATGATAAACATGGTTAATATTACGCAGGTGTTACTGTACTGTGCAGTAATGGCGTAAGTTTCGCTTGATTCTTGCATTCTTTAAGAACTCCATATTTCGGATACATTCTTGTTACACACCATATATCTTGCTTCTGTTTAAAACACCTTTAGCACTTTTGTCGAGAAATATTCGGTTCGCATTCACGGTGTAAACTATGCTTTTGCTCAGTTGATAGAAGATACACTCTGAACTTAATTTAGAAGTTGAAAGTGAACAGTTACCTAATGAATCAAATGCAGGTATGAAATATACTGAGATTTGTTCTGAACATTAGAGGTGCACCATTTCAAGGAAGTTAATTCCGAATCAGAATTCTGAAACAATCTAGTACAAATGTTCTCTTCTATCGCACACAAAGTACAATGTGGAGTCAATGAGTACGCGGCAAATACGAATACTTGCAAGATTTGCAATCATCTTGCATTGCAAAGCTGCGAATAATGGCGGGAAGATCAGTTATGGCGCCTAGCAGCTTATTCTCAATGTGAAGCAAAAACTTTACTAGTTAGTGAAAATATATAAGAGCAGTGAACACAAGTTTTTAAGCAAACAAAGCCAAATCTCAAAAATTATTTTTAGCAAGTGATACCAGATGAAAGACAAAGATGCGCCCTTTACTAAACGGATCTGCGATGCATAAAGTGCAGGTTTATCTCGTACTAAGTGTGCAGATGGTGTAATACCGCGTTTACTACATTCATATAACTTATCAGGTTTCGCCACTCGTTGTCGTTTTTTGCTGCCATTGCGAGAAATGTTCTTTTAGAGAATCACACGATCCATTACAGTTCAGCAAAATATAGTGCGCTAAAAAATTAACTTAAAAAATTTAATTTCTGGAAGTGATCACGGCACGTGCATCATTGATATCTGTAAAGAACTATGCAACATTGGCACAGTTTAATTTCCATCGATTTGTCATGCTTCTGTTGCAAATTTTTGTATTGTTTGTCTTCCGGTTTCGCTTCGTGCTGTTCGTTAGAAAAGCTTTATTACAGTTTCAGTTGCTTCTTACGCAATTGTTAAATAAATATCTTATAAGCAAATATTTTACTAAAATATGTTAATTGGTCGCAGTGACACCAAAAATGAACTCACTTGAATTTTCAACTCTCTCCGACTCATGTTGTAGTATTCGACCGCTTCGTTTCGAAGGTAATTTGTGTACTAACATGAAAATCATGCAATTCTGTAAATTATCAACGTGTTAGAACCAGTCTTGGTGGATCACCCCTGTTTTCGCTGTGCAATTATAGCTTCTAGGACAGTCTAAAATGGGTTTAACTCTTTCTAATTTATTCAGTCGTCTTTTTTTAAAGAAACAATGCCGCATATTGATGGGTAAGAGGTTTGTAAGTTCCCTTCGAGAAATATTGTGAAGTTTTGCTGCTTTTCAGTTGGACTCGACGCTGCCGGTAAAACAACAATTTTGTACAAACTTAAACTCGGTGAAATCGTAACTACTATTCCGACCATAGGTATGTGTTTTTCATACGAGGTCATAGTATCGAAGTTCGTGTGATAAATAGTTTTTCTAGTAGTAATAGTAAATAGTTTTTCTATCCTGTGCCGATGCTGTGGTATGTTGGAAGTCTTTTTAACTGACCATCCTGCGTTATACGTGTGGGCTATTGTTCTGTTTCGCCACCATGAAGCTGTCCTTAGATTAATATTTCTATCTTAGTAGATCTTGTACGTGGCTGAAAAGTTCTTTTTTCAATAATAATGAATGAATAATGAATGTAGTCGAAACTGAGTTGCAATTCCTGAGTACACGAAGTTTCGAAAAACGTTTTCTCGTTTTCATGTTCGGGTGAAAGCAGCTGTTCAGTTTACAGTGCAAATCTAGTAGGTGACTGAAGAAGCAGTTAAAATTTTTGATTGTAATTTATCGATATTTTGAATATATTTATTCTATGAATTGACTCGTCTGATTTGTAGCTTAAAAATATGTCTAGCACTTTTGATGGTCGATCATTGACGCGTAATTTGTCAAAGTCTATTGACATGTTGAGGTGCTTTCCGGTCGCAGTTGAAGAAATTAAGTTGTTGAAATAAGTTATTTGTCAAAAGCCGGTCCTTCATCTTGCACATTTTTGATTGTGTTTATTGATTTAAGTTGATGACGTATTTTTATTGTCTTATTTTAACAACACATTGAAATTTTAGGTTTTAACGTAGAAACTGTGGAGTACAAAAACATCAGTTTTACTGTGTGGGATGTTGGTGGTCAGGACAGAATCAGACCACTCTGGCGACATTACTACCAGAATACAGAAGGTCTTATTTTCGTGGTAGACAGTAACGACAGGGAACGAGCAGACGAAGCGAGGAAAGAGTTAGTGAACATGGTAGTTGACGAAGTAAATATCCTTTTGACTGTGTCCCCATTTTTAGCTGTCCGAAGATGAACTGCGCGACGCGGTGCTGCTGATCTTTGCCAATAAACAGGACTTGCCGAATGCGATGAACCCTGCGGAGTTGACCGATAAGCTCGGATTAAATCAACTGAGAAATCGAAAGGTGAGAATCTTGCTTTAACTGGTGCGCTGTCTCTTAAGAAAGTCATTAAAAAGTAGTAAATAAAAACATTTTCCACCATACGAATAGTACTGTTTCACTACGGACCATTGATTGCGCCTTTTTTTTCATAATCCAAGACAGTTTAGCGTTACCTTTTCGAATTCGTAGTCGAAAGTTCATACATAGGTATGAGTTCAGGTCAGGTCATTCTTTCGTCCATCGGAGGTAGAAACATGTAATCTGTATTTTAGGAAAGCAGAAAATTACACACTATAGTTGCTACGTTGAAAGTACTGCCTTCAAAAGAAAATATGGCACCATAATGGAAAGTAGCGGCACGCCATCAATTTTGTGAAAAACATCGTCTGTTGTTGGGGCTACAGTTTCACCTGTATGACTAAAGAAATTTTTTTCTTTTATTTAGCTGTTACATAGCTCTGATTTCCGTTTCGACGTAATCAAGCATCACTGTTTGGTTTTTGAAATCAGTATATTTGCAGGGCGTCTCAGTCATTGCAGTACGGGTGGTAGGTTTCCGATTTATTTTCTAACGTTGGTACTCATTTATCAACTTTTGGGGGCAGTCAGTTTTAATGATCATTTCTCTTTTAGAATCTCAGAGGTATAGGCATTAGACATTGTCCCCAGCGTTCACGTTCCTGATATTCGGCCAGCGTGTTACCTTCGGCAAAACATAACCTTTGGTGTTTGGAGCAGATTCCTTTGAGACACTTGCACCTGGTATTTCTCGGACATCCTCGGCTCTTCTCTTCAACTGAGTCGTTTGGCCAGGTAGTTGCTTTGCCGCCTTCCATTTCGATGCATTCGCTAAACGTGCCCAGGTTTAACTTTTCAACTTGGATAAGTTGCGATTGGACTTCAAGGCTCTCGCGGGTTTCTGTACTGCAGCAGTTCGTTATCAAAAATCCCATTTCAATCTTTTGTCTTGGATCGAAATTTTTCGGTCATGGCCCGCGACTCAACCGTAGATTGAGATGAACCTTAACTTGAACACAGAAAGCTTAGTCTTCAGATTCAGCTCTTCCTTATTCCCAACGGCTCTGGCTTCTTCCCGCCAATTTATT